GATCCTTGCTTCTTTTTGTGGTTTAGGCTTCCTACTTCTGCAGAAGCTTAGAAGCTTTATGTATCTGAGCAAAGAAAATGTGAAACACTAAACAGGAGTTCCACACTTTCCTTCCTCACGGAGGCCTAGAAGACTACAGCGAGAAGCCCCGGTAAGTAAGTCCCAATGAATGCATACAAGAACTCACACAAACCTTGTACAACCACTAGAGATGCAACGGAGGGGCTTGGTCTTTGATGCATTTCTGCAAAAGCAGCAGTAGGGGTGGTGGCAGTATAGTGGTGGTAGTAGTATAGTAGTAGTAGTCGTAGTCCTGGTAGCAGTAGTAGTATAGTAGTAGTAGTAGTAGTAGTAGTAGTAGTAGTAGTAGTAGTAGTAGTAGTAGTAGTAGTAGTAGTAGTAGTAGTAGTAGTAGTAGTAGTAGTAGTACTAGTATGGTAGAAGTAGTGCTAGTAGTCGTAGTAGTAGTGGTAGTGGTAGTCGTAGTCCTCGCAGGTAGCAGTAGTAGTCGTAGTAGTAGTCGTCGTAGTAGTGGTATAGTCGTATTAGTAATATAGGAGCATCGTGTGTATATTTTAATATATATATATATATATATATACATATATATATATACACACATACCTATACATATTTATATATATATATATATATTTATTTATAATAGCAGCGGCAGCAGCAGCAGCAACTGCAGCAGCATGAGCAGCAGTAAGTAGACCAACGATCGTGTTCGCAGTAGTAGCAGCGTAGTCGCAGTAGTGGTAGTAAAAATAGTATCAGCCGCAGCTGCAGGTGTATGTAAATATATATATATATATACATATATATATGTATATATATATATATATACATATGTATATATATACATATATATATATCAATATGATTATATAGAGTATATATATATATACACAGAAGTAGCACCACGGTTTACGGGATAGTCAGTATATAATAGGAATCGACGAGAATCGAAGCCTGATCTCCGATCTCTAGGGTTTTAGCCTAGATGCGCCATGCCAGCAGGTGTCAGGAGGTCAAAGGGGTTCATCTTTCCCGGGACCGTTGTTTGCATATTTATGTCGAGTGTTGCGGTCGCAAAGCCGCCCAGGCGAAAGCAAGTTGAAACCCATGCCCTCCCAGCGAAGAGCTCGATACAGCTGTAAGCCTGCAACGGATTACTTTTAGTGCAGCCTAAACCTTTCCATCTTTTCGAAACAGAGCGTGCACCCCACCTAACGGAGTCGAACCCAATGCAGTCTCTGTATAGAAATGGTGGCAACACTGGCCTCTTTGAATGTCTCCACATTCGTAGAAAAGGCCAGAAGAATTACGGCGGCAACAAGCACCTGGGCCAGTTGGTGGAAACGAGTCGATGTTCAGGCTGGCTACAGACCTGTAGAGCACATGTGTACGGTTTGCAAACCAGACAGAGAGCAAGAACAGCTCCACATCCAATGCAGCTGTGCGGCTTTCGGGGCCCGGATGCAACAAAGCTTTCGAACAACATGGTCCATGGCTACAGGTGGCATTGCTTAATTGAGCTTATATATTTCACCATGCAAGCATTGCACTTGACACTTGACACAGCATGCATCTTCCACGACTGCGGGTGCGATGCGAACTGAACACATCGAGCAGAAAATGGTTCAAACCTGGTGACGGTCCCTCAGACCCTCAGCATCCACTCAACCCTCCCAAACCAGCAGGCCGCGCGATTACCGTGGCCTTGGACATCATTGATGGCCAAGCGGACCCGCCAAGCGGCCATGGCCTGCATCAGATCAAGGCAAGGTTGAAATGGGAGTGAGGCTATATATAATCTATGTCCTATAGAGGAAATATAAAGGTTTCAAGAACTGCTGTTGGCGAAGGTTCAGCATCTTGTTTACTTTGTAGGGAAACAGACACCGACAAAGACCCAACAAGCCCGAACCAACAAGAACCCCAAAGTCGTCCTACAGAAGAGCCATTAACTCTTTCCCCCGGAAGCTCGCTGTGGCATCGGAACATCACGTGATGTTTGCATGTGCACTCCCCTAAACAGGATCGCTAATCTGCTGCCGCTGCTGTGCTTCCCCAATTAAAGCTACATGTCCTACAGACCCAGAGTGAGGGTGGGCCTTGATCGAGGTTACGAGTATACGGCACACAAGGGAACTCCGTATGTGTTTGACTGGCAACTAGAATACTTCGCACAGTTCTCCAGCAGATGATCCTGTATGGAAGCAGCACCAATCAAAATGAGATGACCACGGAATCATGTGAGACGTCAGGGCACAGCTTCCGGGAAGCCATACTCCATGAGAAAGTTGCTCGCAGCCTCAGAAATGCGGTCCTCGATCGTCTCGGCACAGACGGGCAATGCGGTCGTGTCCAAATACACAGTGCAAGCATCGAAAAACTTGTCCTGATACAGGGCAAAGGAAAAGGGTTGATAATGATATTGTTACTGGGCTTTGCTGTCTGTATATATTCTTGTTTACATTCCAATTACTTCGTGTAGCTCTGAAGCTCTGTTTACATGTGTATATACCTTTCAGTTTCTATTTAACACAATGTAAGTAATGCCATATGAAGCTATGTACTTTGCCTCTAAAGTGTGCAAACGGCCAATGAAACCTGAAGTGTGAGTGGGTGAATAAAGAAAGAAGGATATGTATATATATATATATATAGATACAAAGGGACCTTCTGATTCATACCACATAGTCGGCTTTAGTTATCCCTATCTGAAAAGCAATTTAAGACATTGTGGAATGTATGTGCAAACTTCGCAAACCGCAATCCTCGTACTTGCTCGGTGTAGGCAGAACCTTGTAAAGCTTGTGAATGAACATCTTCCGGATTGTCAGCCACTTGAGCTGGCTCCACTGTCCGGCCGGACAAAACCGCCGAGCGAACGTCTTCTTTTGCAAGATGGGGTTGCTTGGCTCGATCGTAATCTGATCCTTGGGCTCCGGATCCTCCTGGGGCTCCTTGGACATCTTGGCGCTCGGCCGCTTCATGACCTTCTTCTTCTTTGGGGCGGGCGGCTCATAGAACTCCGTCGGACATGCCTCGCTGGCATGATCTGGAGCATCCGACTTCTGGTCATCATTCATCTTCTGGCCGCGGCGCTTCTTGCACTGTGGCGAGCCCCAGATCACAGGCTTAGTCTTCTTGAGTGGGGGCGGGGGATTGGCTGCCTCCTCGGCGTTGTCGGATGGGGGCTTTTTCTGGGACTTACCCTTAGCCTTAGCTGAAGCCTTGGCTTCCTGCTTCTCCAACTTGTCCTCCTTCATCTTGGCCTTCAGGCCCATCTGCTCACGGCGAGTAACCTCGACCCCAAGTGTGAATATGAGACGCCATGCATGCAATTAGGGACCCATCTTCTTATCGTGTTTCGACCGGATACTGTTTACAAACCACACTTTAACTATACTGTTCGGGTGCACGACCACCGGCAACTCCGATGGCTTCTTCTTGCCGTCCTTCTTCCCGGTCTCAGGGCTGGATTGCAAGTCCATCGACACATCCGTAGCACGATGCTTTTCAGCAATCGCATCCATCATCCCCTCATCTGTCATCTGGGTCTCGACATTGTCCGTGCAACCCATTGCTCCGGACGAAGGTTCCGAAAGGCCTAGCAGCTTGCACAGGCTCTTGCCATCAGCATCACCTGCCAAATTCATCGATTGATGGTGTATTTTGGGGCACATAGCATCAACTCACAAAGACAGCCAATGTAGCAAAATTACAGACTGTTCTTCAGATAACCATCGACTGCAGCCACCTGCCACAGCCAGAGATGTTGCGGCGTCCTTGAGCATCTGGGCCCTGCCAGCACAGAACAGCGAAAACCTTCACCAATATTGGAAACCGCCCCCTGAATGCAAAATCATATTCAAACCTGCCCAAACCTGCCTCTGGCTCTGCTTGGCTTTCAAAGCTGCAAGCTCTTCTGAAACCTTCCTCAGCTCCTCGCCATCCTCAAACACGTGCGCCTTTGGCTGCTTCTTGGTCCTCTCCGGTGACACTGGCTCAGCCTTCACAGGAGACTCAAGCACTTCGACAACCTCCATTGGCTTGGCAGTCGAAGCATCAGCTGCCGCATCCGTTGGCGACGGAAACTCGGCCAACATCTCCGCCAAGGGATCATCATCAGGCATCGTGTTTCCCAGGGTGGCTGGCTCATCTGCTGGAGACTCGGCCAAAAACTCCTCCAGAGGATCACCATCTGCAGGCGAAACAGCTTCGACCATGGCCTCCGAGCCAGAGCCCAAACCAAGCTCGCGGTCCAGCTCGTCAAGCTGCTCGCCAGAAAGGTCACCCGCTGGCACACAAGGCGAATCATCTCCATCATCATCATCATCATCCCCATCATCGTCAGAATCACGATGGTCATCAGGGTCGACCTGGCAATGCCGGATGATCTGTTAAGCCTCCGAAAGACCCTTGTACTTACCTGCATGGAATAGCAGTATATACATACCTTATATAAGCAAAAGTAGGACAATAAACAAACATCCAAAGCACGGGAGGACCGCCCCTCAAGATGTCCAGAAGCTCGTTGAAATCGGGGTTCCCGCTCTTCTTTCCTCTTTGCAACTTCCTCTTGACGAGAACTGCGAATGATCTCGCCAGCCAGGCATCTTTCTTGACATCTGCTTTCACAATCTCGTGGTTTGGGAAAATCAACTTGTGGAGAGCTTTCATCCTTATGTAGCTGTTTGTCTTGCATGTGTTGATCGATGTCCCTACAATGATCGAGAACTTGTATATATAGAGATTAAGTGGAAAAAGAAGAAAATGCATAGCAAGCCGCTCCGTCTCAAGCATCTTGATGGTGTAAAGCTGACGGCCAACAGAGGCAGCCATGCGCTTCAGAAGTGGTATAAGCACAAGCTTGTTCAAAGCAGCAGTAGCCACCACACACTTCGGATCACAGCAACCCTCTTCGTAACCCCTGAAGAGGCGGCGGTTGTTACGATAGTAGGCACGTACTCCTTCACACCCATCCCATTCCTTGTGCACGGCAGTCAAGGAAACCCTGTCCATGGCTGGAATGATCAAAAACGATCGAGACTGTATACCCCGAGCGAGTCCCTAGCTTCAAAAGCTGCATGGTCGCAGGAGCAGCAGTCGAAGCATGCAACATGATAAGATGGTCGAAGCTGATTTTCAGTAGCTGCGACTGTTTCGGGTATGGCACCATAACAACTGTGTAACCCTATAGAACTCCTAAACCTTTCAAGCCCAATAAACCCATACAGACCTGGGATCCTTGTCCCCAATCCTGAAAAAAGTTTCAAATTCCTGTGGCAGGCTCCGGCCTCCCATGCGTCGCCACTGCTGCGGGCAGCGGCTCTCCTCTCTTCCTTCCCTATCTATTCTTTTGATCTCTCATAAACCATTAATTCTGTAAAGTTTTGCAGTAGTTTAAGCGTAGTAAGCCTGGAGAGAACATAAACCACTTCAGCTATCTATCAAAACTTTACATTCCCCTATATAGACCCTATGAAACCTTCATTTCAAGGCTCCGTAATATGATTTCCTTATATAGAAGTCTTAGCAAAGGTAAGTTATGTGGGGTGTAGGAAAGTAGTATAAGCCCTGTTAAGCCTATACAGAACAAGCCACTGCAGCTGTGCATCATGTGGCAGCTGTCACTTGATCCATTTGATCCACTGGGCAAGCTTACTGCACCAAACAAGGGTCACACTACAGAATACGGGTCCCGGGCCGGATTACGGGTCACAGGGTGTTAAAAGCCAGGTTCTTAATTCGAGAACACGTCTCTGAAAGTACGGCCTGCGAAAACGCAGGACCCACAGGCTACAGGTAGTCCCGATGATGATAACCATGATGATGGGGACGATGATCACCATCATCATCATCATTTGCTCAAACATCTTAATGTTTCATTGGTTGGTCGTCGGCCGTCTTCTGCCCACGTGCCTGGTAACGATGATCGCTTTGTTGATCGTAGCCACTATCTTCGTTACAGTCGTCGCTTTGGGGGCAATTGCCATAAGGTTGCAATGGGCCAACTGTCTCTGGGATCGGGCCACTAAGGCAACGCGATCCTCCTGACAGTTGCCTTGTTTAAGACCCTCATGTCGGAGTCGTCTTTTTTGGGAAGTGTCCACGGTCAGAAAGGATCGAGCGGGTTTGCGACGCGATCCTCGTGACAGTTGACGCCAAAGCCTGCCTCACGAGTGAATCGTGCCGGATTTTGGGGCCCTCATGTGCAAAAAGCGGGCGCAGTCACGCAGATTCGGCTTGGGGAGTGGGTGGGGGGGGCCAGGGAGGATGCTTGGGGGGGTTTGGCGAACCGAGAACCGCGTTCTTTTACTCTCGGCGGGTATCCCCCCACCCCCTGCTGCACGCCCACCCGCCCTGCGCCCCGGCCCGCCCCCAGCCCACACCTTGCCCGCCCCTTGACCTTGTGCGCGGATCGGGAGTGTCGCACTATGCCCTGCCGCGTGCGGAAAGCGGCAATCGGCTCAGTAGTTTCCAGCATCTGACATGAAGTGCAATGCTGAATTATGAGGGTTGTATGGCGATGGTGATGGTTTCAGATATTCTTTTGAAGGTATTAATGATGAAGATGACGACGACAAGGATGATGTTGAGCATGGTCTGATTGTCGACTCATGTCCCGGTCTAGAGCAGCACAACATCATGAGCAGTATCACCGGTGCCACAGCAAGAGGGAAGACAAGGAGTAACACAAAAGAACGTCGCGGCAAAAAGAGTACCACCACAGGCCCCACACCACAGGGGGGGCGGGGGGAAGGGGGGAGGATACCATGGGATGGGGGGGAGGGGGGGTGTGGCAGCCCTGCATCATATATGGCCATCAGCACTCGCAAGGCTAAGTGATTTCTGCAACATTTTTCTGAAAGCATAATGTGCTCGGCTAAGCCTCCTCCTTGACTCAAGGGCGCAGAAGCAGTGTCTTGGGCGTGGATGTCCCCTGGGATTGCTGGGTCGGCTGCAAGGGCCTGGCAAGACGCCTTGAGAATCGTTGCCAATCAGTGCAGGTGCTTGGTTGGGGCACGGCAGGTTGCACTACTGTCTCATACCTGAAGTGTGACAGTTTTGGTTCAAGAGAGAAGCCAGTGTTCGGAAAGCACGTCGCATTTGAAGATCAGCCCTTCATCCAACAAGTTGATTCTGATATAGTCTTGGCCGTGATGACAAGATTACATCGCTCGCGCAAGCAGCCGTGATTTTGCTGAGGCCTAAGCCATGGTGTCGCTATCCCTTGCTTATGGTTCGTGTGAATGCTCGCAAGGTCAGAGACACGGTGACACGATGGGGCAGCGGTCATAGTGTGGCAGGTAAAGACTGTGTGGCTGTCGCAGAAGTCACCGTATATTGTGACATCGTCCATCTGAAGGTCCCGGGTACGTGTGAGCGAGAGCCGGTTGCTGGGAACTGCCCCTTCGGCACGAGCTTACTTCGTTTAAGGAAGCAGAGCCGCCTATGCTGATCCACGTAGCGTAGAGAGTAAGAGAGAGAAACTGAGCGAGCCAGGTGTTGAGCTGGAAAGGCCGATTTGGATGGATACGTGCAGACAAGCGTATCAACCACCAGGAAAGTGTTGCGGCCTCGAGTGTGGCGGCACGGATAAGGCGATACTGAGCATGGAACAACTACACTCGGAGCCATCTTGAGAGATCGGTTCGTGTCGCGGCGCACCTGCTACAGATGGGATCCTCCGTGCAGAGATTAGTATATGTATATATATATATATATGTATATGTGTGTGTGGCGTGGCCAAGGCAAAGCATGGTGGTCGTATCTATGCCACTGTCTCGGCGCAGATCGGAGGGCGGCGGGTGAAATTTGCTATTTGTTGCGGAAGGCTTAGGCTTGCACTACAGGTACATATTTCAGATGTTGATGGGCGGGAAGAGCTCACGGAGAATGCACGCGCCACTGCCCTACCTGCAGCACCGCTAAATGTCACTGCCACACGTGGCTCCGACTGCACGAGCATGGCCTGTCTCACGCAGGTTTCTTTCATGGCATACAGCGATGGAGATGGCTTGGGTGCGGAACAAGTTCGGGTGCCCTCCCTGAGTCTAACATGACAGTGGCATTTCTGGGTGGTGATTCATTAGGATTTTGCGCAGGCGGAGTCGCAAGTGCCCACTGGCCCGGCCTACCCAAGCGGTGTGGCCAGTGCGTGCATCTCAAGGACTAAGAAGCATTCACAACAGCAATACTTTCTGACCTGTTGCGAGGTCGTGAAGACTCGGGCAGCGCCTGCACAGCCAAGATCGCAGGGTGCAGGCCATGCAGGCGCAGACCCTGCCCAGATCTGTTTTTGGCAGGTCTCAACTAGATCGGGTTTTGTAATGCTGGAGGTTGTAGATTCTAGAGACCAGAGGGCAGGTACGAAAAGTGCAGTGATATCTGGCCTTGGGCTACTTGACAGGCCCTGGCCAGTCGTCTTCTGCAACGTCCAAACCAGCTGCTAAAGCTTCGCCAACGGTTGTAGGGCCGCCCGAGCCTCGGTGCTATCTTAGCTAGCATTCGTGGACGCGTTCAAGAAAACTGAGGCCGAAACCGAAGCCTAAGCCGCACCCGTGCCCGGCCAGGTACGTGGCAGACCAGCAGACTAGAACTGCGCACTCAGAATTTACACGCGGCAGGCTGAAAGCTCTACTTCCTAGCGATTGTTGTTGCCCTATTTCTCTCACATCACTGGAGGACGGGCTGCCAGCAGTAGGTTGCTGCAGCACTGCTGCACAGTTGGAAAGGGCATTGGATCTGTACTAGTCTGGTTTTCCGAAGTCCTGGCAACAGAATTCGCAAGTGCCTGCAAGAGTAGTTTTTGTCATGCAGGGGATGCAGCGGGCAGCACTTCGAATAAGCAACAGCTTCCGCGAATTTTTGGAGTCTCAGTTTGTGTGGTGCAGAAGCTGAATCATTGACATGCTTATTTCGCTGCAACAAGCAGACGAGGTTTTAAGGTTTGGAGCCTTGCTGCAGCTGCAGATAACAACGCCTCAGACAACCGCGGACACAAGTCTGAAAACAGCTAATGGAATAAATATTGACTTCTCTGCGAGGACTCCTTTATCACAGGCTTGTCAAACAGCCTCAGCTTTCCTTTCGTGGTCAGGAAGTGATTGACCGAAAGGCACCAAAGACTGACCCGCAAAGGTCCGAGAAAGCATCAGTCAACGAAAGGCTCCCAAAGCCAATACCAAACACAGAAGAAGGAGCCGAATGACTTTATCAAAAGGGCCGCGGGCTTTTGTGAATTTATGGACTGGATGGTTCGATCACTGTTTGACCGCTGTCTACTTTGTAAATTCAATGTTCAAGTCATGTTTGCCGAGAGTTTGCTTTTGCTCGGGGCGCTGTCGAGCAATAACAAAATTGCCTTGCATGGGGCCAGATCCTCGAGCTACATTGTGCAAATCATGCTGAGAGCACTGCAGTTGATGAAGGACAGACGCAGAGGCCGATAATGGTTTCCAGAACACTAGTGGCGAACATCCTACAAGAACACGGACAGCGAGCATTCGCCGCAGGGCTGGACGTCGCATCGAGTAGCCAAGGGGAGCTATAGCATAGCCGCATGGCCGTTGCGACAGGCAATAAGCAGCTCGCTTGACAGGAGCTACCAGTGGATCCGTTTGGACTGCCCAGCACACAGCACAAATGCATCGCAGATTTCAATCTGCAGCGCTTGCAGTGGATTGGCGTGTGCCATTTGCTGGCCGGCCTTGTCAGATCGGATCTTTATAGGAGATGCCAAGGACGGTCCTGCACTCGTTGCGCTAAGGCTGGGCACGACGGAGCATGCAGAGGCCCATCGTTAGCCAAAGGAGCGTCGGAGTGTGGAGCCCGTTGTCCCTTCCGGCAGGTACCGAAGGAAGGGATTTGGGGCGAAGCTGCAGAAGACCTGCTTCGTCACTGCCGAAGTTTCGAATTCTTCCCGTGCTGCGAACCTTCTCAAGTTCAGTCTAAGCTGAGGCACGAATCCGAATCAGGTGATTCACTGGTTCGACGGAAGGCGAACCCAGCTGTGGTGA